AAGTAGGTCACGCGAGGGTAGACAACACTGGTTTTTAAGTAGCTTCTACTTTAGCTGTGTGAGTTTTATTAGTATTAGTGCTGAAAGTGCATTCACATCACTTACCCGGTTTGTTTGTTTCAATCTGGACCAACCACTCTGGAGCCTTTTTTTAAAATTAATTCAGGCCTTGCTTAATGCCTCCTTCATGGACTTCTCTCATATTTTGTATGCTGTGTTGAGATTGTTTGAGAGCCTTACTTTTTGTATCCATGGAGAAATAGTTTAGTACAACATGATCAGCATCTTCCCCCACAAATTAAATCTGAGACAACTCATTGCTTTTAATTAAATTGAAAGCCTCTGAGGAGAGCAGAGCAAGGAAAGTGCAGTCCAACCAGCTGCTGGTTTTTATGAGTGAAAAAGAGGAAAGGATGTTGTTGAGCTGGTGTTTTCCCTTTTTAACAGACATTGATTTGCTTTTAAATGACTAAGTTGTTAAGCTATAGCCCTCAGCACTTTTATGATGGACAAAGTTCCACCAGAGTTAAACAGGATCTATTTAACTAATGCCAAGTTTCTGAGGCATTATGCCTAATTTATACTTCTCCGTCAGCTCTGTGAGGGAGAGACGTACACGCATTAACAGAGACATTTTGCTTTCTCTGTCAGGTGGGGATTGTTGCAAAACAATTCCCCGCCAGGACAACAGAGGGCGTAGCACTATTCTGAGGTATCAATGGTTAAAAGGAATCACGGAAGCAGTGTGAAGCGCTCCGTCGCGCGTCTAGGAGACGGTACCGTAGGAGGCGAGCTGCCATGGTTCGCCACATGCTACAGGAGCAAGCTATCTAGGTGTGCACAGCGTCCCCCGGTCCCCTCCTCCTCCCCCTCCTCCCTGTCCGGAACTCGACCTCACCAGTCTGAAGCAGCCACCTTGTCCGTGACAAGTCCGGACCTGTTACTAGGGGCGTCGTCCGGTTTAATTGCGGAAAAGGTTATCTGGATGTTTGTATTCAGACACAACGGTCTTACGGACAGAGTCCTGAACATTTCCGTTTTTCATGGCCTGTCTGAAGGGGGCTTTACTGTCATGTAGCTGGTCCATGTTGGTGTATTTACTAGCGTGTTTATATTGTTTTAATGTATTTGAGAGACTTTTTAACATGGACAAATTTGTCCCTCATTCCACTCCACCCCTTCATGCGATCGACATCTCTAAACCCACGTTTCTCATCATTTCCGTCCACAAATGTAAAGCTTGCTGCATACCTTTAAACTCCTTCAGTCATGAGTGAGTAAAACGTTCATATTTTCAGGTTTTTCTGCGATACATTCTTCAACTTGTTCCGTGTCTGCCACTAAATATCTCTTTACTTTTTGAAGCAACAAAGGCGATGTTGTTGATGAATTAAAACAGGAAACAGCGTCCTGACCAATCACCAAGCTTGCGGTCTGTCTCTTTTGATGGATGGTTAAAGTTTGGGGCATCTTCGTCTTAAAGCCCATCAGAGGGCTCTTGCATGTAAGCATAATGGCGTTGCATGTGTCCATCCTGACGCAGACGGAGAAGTGTAAATTAGGCTTTATGCCTCTGGTAGGGTCACCCATGGCAAGCAGGTCCTAGGTGAGGGCTCAAAGTGCAGCCCAAAGATCCCTTATCAAGAAAAATAAAACATGGAAACAGGGTTCCCTCGCCCGGACGCTGGGCATCTGTGCCCTCTTCTGGAGCCAGACCTAAAGGTGGGGCACGTTGGCGAGCGCCTGGTGGCCAGACTTTCACCCATGGAGCCCAACACTGTTTATAATGTGGACGGTGTGCTGCTGACCTCCACCCGGGATGTTGCGGATCGGTGAGCGGAGTACTTTAATGACCTCCTCAATGTCGCCAGCACATCTTCCAGTGAGGAAGCAGAATATGGGGGCTTTGGTTTGGACTATCCTATCTCTGGGGCTGAGGTCAGTGAGGTGGTCAAAAAGCTCCTTGGTGGCAAGGCACTGGAGGTGGATGAGATCCGCCCAGAATTCTTTAAGGCTCTGGATGTCATAGGACTGTGTTGGCTGATGCGGCTCTGGAATATCGCGTGGACATCGGGAGCAGTCCCACTGAACTGGCAGACAAGGGTCGTGATCCCCCTGTTTAAAAGGGGGACCGCAGGGTGTGTTCCAACTACAGGGGGATCACACTCCTGAGCCTACCTGGTAAAGGTCTAGTCAGGGGTTCTGGAGAGGAGGATCTGTTGGATAGTCGAACCTCAGATTCAGGAGGCACATCGTGATTTTCGTCCTGGCTGTGGAACACTGGATCAGCTCTATACCCTTAGGGGGGTCCTGGAAGGTGCGCAAGAGTTTTTTCAACCGATCTACATGTGTGAATTTGGAGGCGTTCAACCACATCCCTTGATGAGGCCTGTGGGGGTGCTTCGGGAGTATGGGGTACCAGACTCTCTGATACGGACTGTTGGGTCCCTGTATGACCGGTGTCAGTGATCAGTCCGTATTACCAGCAGTAAGTCGAGCTCGTTCCCAGAGAGAGTTGGACTCTGCCAAGGCTGCCCTTTATCACTGATTCTGTTCATAACTTTTATGGACAGGATTTCTAGGCGCAGCCAAGGTGTTGAGGGGATCTGTTTTGGTGGCCTGAGGATCGGTTCTCTGCTTTTTGCAGATGATGTGCTCCTATTGGCTTCATCAAAACAAGATGTCCGACTTTCACTGGAGCGGGTTTGCAGGTCAACTGTGAAGCAGATGGGATGAGAATCAGCTCTTCTAAATCCAAGACCATGGTCCTGAGTCGGAAAAGGGTAGAATGCCTTCTCTGGATCAGGGACGAGGTCCTGCCCCCAAGTGGAGGAGTTAAGTATCAAGAGGTCTTGTTCACAAGTGAGAAAAAGACAAAGAGTGAGATCGATAAGCAAACTGGTGTTGCGAGTGCAGTAATGCGGGTGTATGTACCGGTGTGTCGTGGTGTCTGGCTGAGGAAAAGTGGCTCCAATAAACCGAAATCCAGGATATCTTGCTCCACCAACGCACTTTTCCGCAGGCTGCATCCACGGGTTGCTCAGAAAAGCCAAATATGCAGAGACCTACAAGCACCGCACCACTGTCAATCTTTAACTGATATAAAAGCAGCGTGAGGTGATCTGTGTGCCACACAAAGCTGCTACACAGCACAACAATGGCTGTGATGTGGAACATTTTGCTCAGTCTTTAGCTTTTTTGTCAGACTCTAAAATCTGGAAATGTCTGCAAGCGGCAGGCAGAAAACTGAGGAACAACCAGTGACTACCCCCTAGCCAATCAGTGACTGACAGTTGGGAGATGTTACATTTTCAGCACAGCTCAGTACACTAGGAATCACAACGAAGCAGGTACTGAAAGGTTGGGTGGTAAACACTGACCCATGCTGTTGAAAAAAGGTGGTCCAACCAGATCGAACCCATTCAAGTCACACTTCGAGTACTTGGAATGGGGCAACAGTTTTCATCCGACTCCAGGCTGACGGGGTACAGGCCAGAACTTGGCTAAAGAGTCCTTCGGGTGATGCTGTTAATACTGTTACAGCCTGACCTGCTCTAAATGCTGCGAGAATCATTAGACAGTAGAGCAGGACCACTGAGTCATGTGTGGAATAATTTCAGCAATGCCGAATCAGCAGGGGCCATCCTTCTTCTAGCAGCTGGGAGAAACATGCTGTTCTCACAACACAAAACAAAAACTGCTTCAGAGGACATGGTCTGATGTGCAGCTTAACTAAATATGTGGGTCTGAAAACGACACGTGTTTGGAGGTTTATTATTTTTTTTACCTACCTTTAAGTCAACTGTGCAGTGGCAGTTTCAAATATTAGGATATGACCAGTGTACAGTCTAAGAGAAATAGCTGTTGGATTAAAGTGCAATGATCTCTTGTTTGTCTAATGCCAGGCAGACATAAATAAATCCTAAAATATGTTAAATGCAGTAACTTTATTTTGCCTAACTACTTCATACTGGAAGCATCAGCAGTGGAACATCACTGCTTCGAATAGAATCCTTTGTAGTCTATGGGGGTGATTCAAACCAGCTGCAACGTGGCCATTTTCAGGTGCATCCCAGAAGCAGTCAGCTGCACCGCTAAAGATAGGATTGGGTTCTTTTTTTGTCGCGTGCCGCTTCCGGGACACGTCAATTTCTCCACCGTAGGGCTAGACAGGAAATCGCACGCGGTTTTAGTGTAAAACCTCTGGTAATTTTCTAAATTAAAGACTGTTGCAGCGATGCAATGTCATATTTACAGTGGGTACAGAAAGTATTCAGAACCTCATCAATTTTTCACTTTTTGTTTTATTTCAGCCATTTGCTAAAGTAAATTGATGTACACACAGCACACCATATTATCAGAAAAACACAGAATTTTAGACATTTCTGCAGATTTATTAAAAAAGAAAAACTGAAGTATCATATTGTCCTAAATATTCAGACCCTTTGCTGTGACACTTTTTTCACTCGTAAATAAATTAGAACACCCAATGAATATTTTCTGAGTTTCATTAAAATCTGTCCAGTTGTTTGTAGGACTTTTTACTTACAACCTCACACAGATGCAGGGAAACTCTTTATTGCCTTATTTCTTAGTGGTGAAATGTATTGAAAATAGTTCTGTGTCGAATCACAGACTCTGGAGTTCAGATCTGGCTGTCGTTTTTTTTTTTTTACAGGAAGAAATAATTTAGCCAAACCAAGTTTCAGTTGTTTGTTTCGAGACTGGCTCGTTTAGGTTTTCATGGCTGCTGGGATGCAAGCAGATTTTAAAACACTTAGCAGTGAAAGACATTCAGGGTGTCTTTTTATGGTTTGTGTGTTTAAGACGTGTTTAGCAGACAGCTGTATTTTGTGGAGCTCCAGCTGATGGAAACTTGTATTGATGGAAGGGGAGGATTGTCCAAAGTTGCCTTTATTTTGGGCTCATGTTTTTCCTTTAGAGGCTATAAAACCAACAGTTCTTCTATTTTCTAACCTTCTCTCTCTGGTTTGATGTAGCTGTCTCACAGAGAGCGGGAGGCCGCCAACTACAGCCAAAAGCTGAAGGAGAAATTCCAGCATCACCCACAAATCAGGCGTATTGCTCGCCACAGACACCTCCCCAAAAGCATCTACCACCAGAAGAATGAGCTGAGGGTCATGAAGGAGGCGCGCCGACGAAAGTGAGTATTCAGTTTCTACCGTTTTGGTTTCTCTTCAACGTGTAAGTAAAAAAAATCCAGGTTCCTTATTGCATCCGTTTGATGAAGACGATTTGGGCTGCTGCCAGGAAAGTTCTGACCTAAACCGTCACAGCAGCCTAACGGAAAATCTCCCAGATGGAGCAGGCCACTATGACGTGGTCTCAGTGGACATTACTTACTCATTTACAGCTCCTGTGGTGGATTGATTGTCCCAGTTTGCCCTGGCCCTGAATAACAGCCCTATCTGTGCCTTTTATTTTCTAATTAGTGACAGCAGGATGATACCTCACACATATCAATGAGCTGTGAATGATTTCAAAGCCCTGCTTCATGCATTAGCCTTCCAACGGCTTTAGTGTTGTCTCTGACGTAGCTGATAGGTCAACACTCTCACATTCAGACTCTTCCTTCGTCCTCTTTTGTTTACTCCTCTCTTCCTCCCACTTCTCAGTTCCCAGTTCTTATTACCATGAGCAACAGCATGAGTAATTCACACACTTTCCTCTTTATACTTTGGTTTTTAGGGAGAGGAATGTCCGCAAACACAGCAAACCGGGATCTGTCCCTGTGTTGTCTGAGAAGGAGAAGCATGTCGTCTCTGTGGTGAAATGAACCAGCTGGAGGGGAATGAAAGGACCTGGGAGTGGAGACGATCACCGCCACGGGAGGAACTGTTCATCCAGTCTGTCCATCAGATTTAAAATAAAGTTTGACAGCTAAAACGCCGGTTCTGCATCGTAAATGAAGTGTAAATAAAAAAAGGAAAATGAACTTGACGTAAAAAAAAGAATACTTTTTCCACTTTCATTTGTGATCATTTAAATAAAGTTGGTCATCAAAATCCATCCCTCTTATTCTTGTGTTTAATATAGATTGTTGAACAACATTTTCAAATAAAAACTTGAGTGTAAGTTTTCCACTCTTTTCATTCATTTTCAACAGTGACCAGCGTCGCTCACACCACCTGGGCATCAGTGAACTTTTCTGTAGCTTCTGATCCTTTAAAGAGCTTGTAGCCATTTTTTAACAGAAGTAGTACATGTTTTTGTGGAAATCAAACCGTAAAACTAAAAAGAGACCTAAAATCTAATTGAGGTAAATTTCTTTATATTTTTGATGCTTTAACAAAAAGTTTACTACAAATGTATTCAAAGATTAGAAGTTTGGCAGTAGGTCTTTCTGGAAGGATGAACAATAAGCATGTTGCCTGTTGTAGACAGCTCTGAATGACCTCCGTAAGTAAAACACGTTTACGCTTTGGCCAGCTGGGCTGGGTGAGGACAGCCCACCCCGTACTGCCAGGTTGTGTTTACACAACCTCAGGAAAGCAGACATTTATTAGTGACTCGAGTATTTGGGCGGCTCTTCTAAAGAAGGGTGGTGATGTCAGTGGTGTCCTTCATAGATAAGCCTAGTTTATACTTCTCCATCAACTGGTTTGTATTCACACACGTTTTCATTTTATACTTCTCTGTTAGTGTTAATGTTGTGAAGCAATTCTCTGCCAGGTCAGTAGAGAGTGAAGCGCTTTTATGGGAAATCCTGCCATGCAGTCATGTCTGTAGTGTTTGTCTATTCTCAGTGGTGTGTCCAGATCTTTTAAAATGGGGTGGCCCAGGTGAGGCCCAATTTTGTGCATGGGTGGCTCCAATGGTTATGCTTTTTTGTTTTACCCCCAAGCCTATTGTGGACAATGAAAAGCCTATTTAAAGATAAATTAGTGTGTTGGCACCTGGGGTGGCCAATCAGATTCCAAGGGTGGCATGTGCTACCCCAGGCCACTCCCTGGACATGCCCCTGTCTATTCTCCACCTCTTCATGCAGGCGCCACCTACAAACCCATGTTTCCTATAATTTCCTGGCACAAAAAGTTTGCTGCGCACCTTTGTACTCCTTCAGTCAGTTTCATCAACAATCTGCTCCATATCGCTAGATATCTTTGACTCGTTTTATGTTTTTTTGGCACAATATTGGTGCTGTTAAAGTTAAAGGAAGCTGCATCCTGACCAATCACTTGCAGTCTCTGCCGCTTTTGATGGATATTAATAAAAATGGACTCTACGTCGTCCGTCCCTGCGATCCTGTTGGAGGGCCCTTGAAACCCCGAATAATGGTGTTGCGTATCTCTGCACCACTGCAAATGGAGAAGGGAAACCTAGGTTTTAGTGAACAAAAGCAGTGAGCAGTGTTAAGACTCTTGACATGAAGCACACATCTTCCTACCCTTCTCACTGAGCAGCAGGGCTGCCGTGGGCTTCTTCCCATCCAAGAGCGCTCACAGCAGTCGTCACGCTACTCTATTCTAAGCTGCTTAATATGGGGGTCGCTGTAAAATCACCAACACAAGGCAGTGACATCTGCTGGATTGTCTTGCATTGCAAACTTAACTTATTGGCATAGTTAACTCAATGCACTGACAATGTGAATGAAATGTTTACATTGTGAAGTGCCTTTTGATGATTTGTGAATTGGTGCTATGTTACACTGAACTGGATTGCTCAATGATTCTCTTGTGTGGGAAGTCGCCACTGGCTCTTTCTACCCGTGCCAATCAGAACCCCATACGAGTGCCTGCGTGCTGCAGGGCTCTGTGCTGGGCCCTTTTATGTATGCATTTTATCTCCCACCTTTGGGGCTTCTCCTTTGCCGGCTTGGTGTTGTGCGGTCCTGTGGAGTGTGATCAGAACCACACCTGCAGCTGCTGCCTCTGTCCCCTCGACATTTCCACATTTGTCCGTCTTCTAGCGCTCATAATCTGGTTATGAAATATACATGATGCTGGTCCATTCCGTGTTTTTCCTGCTGCTGTGTGCCTGCCCTGCTGTCAATGAACATCCACAGCGTCCGCCTCTCCTCTCAGCATTCTACGTGTTTCCATCGCTCCGCCTCCTCTTCTTTCTCACTGGAATCTTTTTTCCTTTTCCTCTTTTTTGCCCCCTCCTCCCCTCTGTGTTTCTCTCATCCCGCCCTCCCTCTCTCTGTCATTGCATCCATTTTTGTACATTTAAGAAATTAAGAATTACCAACCTGGAGGAAGGCGAGCTGAACGGAGTGACAGAGGGGGGGTTAAGGACTCCAGCAAGAACGGACCGGGCGTCTTTTATTCCAACATGCGAGAGAAGCCTCTTTAAAGGATGGCAGCGATGGGTTAGACAGGATTTACCATGACTGCAAAATAAAAGGCAAGAGTCCTTCTTTCAGCCTTCAATATTCTCTACCTTTTTCACCCCTGGACGAATGGAAGCTTGTGTTTGGAATATTTTAAGGGCATTATTTCTTTTTTTTTTCATTCCACTGATTTCATTTGAACACGTAGCCTAAATTACCCAGATTTGCAGCCTGCAACAGCTCAGATCTTCTTGTGAATTTCCTGTCAGCTGGCTGCAGCGATAACCTCACCATGAGCCTTTAATAAGCTGCAGGATGATGAATATTTTGACGATAATTTCTGCGGCGTACTGTAATGTGTGGCATTCACTAATCATGCCGCTTTTTAAAATATGTTCACACCAGACTGACAATTTGGAAAGATTGACAAAACATGCTGCCCACGTTTCAGCTTGGTTGACAAATCCTTCTTATTAATAGTATTATTTATTATTATTTTGTAGCGCTGTGTGAATAAGATGTCTGCTCCACACGGGCCCCGGGGCGGCCCCGGCCCTGCCGCTGCTCCCTCAGCGGCCGGCGCCATGGCGGAGATGCCGGACCTCAGCCACCTCACCGAGGAGGAGAGGAAGATCATTCTCGGCGTCATGGAGCGGCAGAAGAACGAGGAAGCGAAGGAACAGTCCATGCTAAAGTAAGGAGAGACGGGGGTATCAGGATAGGTTGTGGTTGTTCTAACTACAGAGAACCTGGTAGGTCATGTTGCCTCCTGACATTCGACCTGGCGCCGTAGTAGTAGTGGACCGACACCAAGCTGACATGTAGGTGTCCGTCTCTCCTCCTCAAAGACTCCATTTAAGGTGTCGTTTTATCGCGCTACATACTTAAAAACTTGCCCCCGCACTTTGTTGTGACTAGCTTGCACACTTCGGTAATAGTGGGGCTGGGCTAGCAGCCACGGCCGCCATTTTCACGTAAAAGGCACGCCAATTAGCTCAACCTTTCCCCACGAGCGTCACCGAGATTACACAATATGACTCTGGAAAGATCATTTATGGTGCCTCGTGTGGTGGTTGCGCACGCGGCGACTGTGCGTGTGTAGTTTGAACGTGAGGGTGGTCGGCACAGCATGTCCCCCTCCCCCTTCCTCTTCTGCACAGATGTCGCTCGGAGCGGTTTCAGCACCGCGGAACTGTCCGCTGGAAGCTCTCTCACTTTTAAGGTGGAACGGAGAGTTTCTACCGCTATAGCTTTAACCTTTTACCGAGGCAGCCGGATATTGTTTATATTGCAACTCAAAATGTCTTTATTGCATTAGAAAGGAAACAAACACATTTTGAATGATTATAAGAGATGCTTTGAGCTTAGTGAACACTGGGCTAATGAGGGTAGAGGGGGAGATTTCAGGGTGGTGGCCTTAAATGTCAGATTCCTGTTGAGTTTCTGTTCCTTCTTCAATGAAACGGTGCACATGCTTGTTAGTTCACACAGCCCAGGAGCTCATGTGTTTGTATTTGTTTATAGTCCTAAACAAATGCATCCCAGATTTTATTTAAGACAGAAACTGAATTGTTTTAGCTAAAACGGCTTTTTGTTGTAAGGATTGCAAACTATCCTTTGGCTGAACCGTGAAACATTTCTCCGAGAGATACTTTTGCGCCTATTCCTTCTGGAGAAAGAGTTGTGCAACCCCTGCCTTGTGCAGCTGCATGATAAACATGACTCATGTACTCTAAGACACAGCTACCTCAGCCGCTGCAGTACATGATGTGTGATTCATTTTCTTCCCCTTCCTCCTCATTTCTCTTTCTCTCCCCGCCCATCCCAGCAGCAGCGTGATTTCTCCCCATTTCTGTGTCTCTGAGGTATAGGGGATTGTCAGTTTCAGTCATTCTTTGTCTGACACTGATGTTAAAGCCCTGCTATAACTGACAATAGCTAGGGAAGATGATTGTTTGCAAAAGCCAAGAGTGGCTCGAAAATGTCCCATAATAAGACCCAAAAAAGCTGAATGGATTAATCATTTTGGAAAGTCAAAGTGGCCTAGGTGTATTTGCATTCTCATCTGTGTGAAAATTACAGGCTATTTTGAGCCTTTTTCATGATCACTTTGGGGTGTTGCTCACCAACATCCTACAACAGAAGTTTGAACACAAGACTAAGAAATGATTTCTAAATGCACAATAACCACGTTAGTTAAATGCGCTCTGACTTTACATAATGGTGACTCATCATGAGTCATCGAAACAGTAAATCCCCACTTTCTTTACCTATGAATCACACAAGAGTAAAGCATCCCGAAGCGGCGTTAACATACTCGGCCTCGCAATCAGAAGAACTACTGAGGATTAGGATGTCACTGGCTTTTCACAGCATTTCCAGCAGTGTGAGAAACAAACACCCACACACATCCCGTCATCCATCCTCACACTGCAGTTCACTTGTGTCTCCACTTATGGAGGTCCATGGAGGTGCTGCCTTTGAACAGAGTCAGTTTGAACACTGAAGTGCGAAGTCTAACGGAGGGAATCCTGAGAGGATGGAGTGGAGAAGGAGAATGACCCTCCATCTGCAGGGCTTGTCAGCTTGCTGTCATCTAAAGAGAGTGTCGATGGAAATCCAGCGTTGTTGACTTGCATGTAATTAGCTACTGCAGTGTGTGTCCTAGCGTGTTACTCCATGAGGTGGCCCTCCATATGTTTAGCAGTAAAATAGTGATTGTAAAAACTCAAAATGG